CTGAAAGTAGCTTAGATGTAGACGTGTAGGTACTGAAAGTAGCTTAGATGTAGACGTGTAGGTACTGAAAGTAGCTTAGATATAGACCAGGAGATGCTGGACGTAGCTTAGATGTAGGCGTGTAGGTACTGAAAGTAGCTTAGATACCATCAATACATACTCGTATACATCTAAGTTACCTTGATATATATATCTAAGCAACCTTCATTATCTCCAGCTTTATATCTAGAGTACGTCCACGTGTATATCTAAGGTATCATCGGTACCTCCACGTGAATATCAAAGCTACCTTCAGTACCATCATGTTTATATCTATCTTAAGTACCTTCTTACTTACAAGTTATATCTATTTTAAGCAGGTACATCGCTATATGTTAGTTATTTTTAGTGTCTCTACATCTATATTTATCCTCACCATATCTATATATGAGTTAGATACAGTACGTTTGTTTACAGTGTACATTTTCTTCAGTTGATCTATATCTGTAATTAGGATGTCATCGCTATCTATAACATGTTCAATCAACTTCAATACTTGTATATTTCAGTATATATACATCTTAGTTAACCCCAGAAGAGTTAACCTCTGTATTTTTACTAGGAAATATCAACATTTAAGGTCAGTTAATATTCACGTTACATAAACAGTTTTATTTAGTTATCTATAACCTAAAATCTTCAGAACCTATATCGCTTTAGTTTAAACGTCGATAATTCTACATCTATTGATTTAACATTCTACCATTAATTCTCTGCAACTGTAGTTCTACTATTATGAGTATCCACGTCCTTATCAAAGTTAAGTTTAACTTATTTAGATTATAGTTTCCTTAAGACTATTACTAATCTCATATTTCTATCTTTAATATTTGTATCAGTAATAGTATGTGTTTATATAAACCATTCTCGGAGATTAGAGCTTATTCATCTCTAACATGTATAAATCAAGTTTTTAAGATTTTTATTGGTTGTATAATTTCCCATGATAACAGTGCCGACAGTTAAGATAATATTTCTCAGAAAATTTAAGACTGTTCACTGACATGTTCAGTAAAGTTAAATACACACCTGTGTTCAATCCTGTCCAGTGAAAAGACCGTACAGAATTACTCCATGACTCTCATCTTGGCGCAGCCTGCGATTTTGCACGTCTAAATTTCATTGCGCGCTCCTCGCGTGCATCATGCTCGTGACATCACAAAGGAATGCTGGGAAGAGAGACGCATGAAAGATAGGACTTCCGATGTAGATATGTGTCAGTATTATAAAGTAGGAGGCTTTTCGTAAACGAATTGATTGGGGCAAAACAGGCGATGTAGATGCAGATATAAAAGGAGTGTACTTCCTTCACGAACCTTTCTATACATAAAAGTCCTAAAGCTTTTCACTTATTTCTTTTGCTCTAAACTGCAGAAAAACACATTTTCGGGTAAAACACACACATATACACCAGAGGGTACTTCGCTTGAAAAGAGACATGTTTATTTCTTTAACTGTTTCGACGAACACGATTTACTTTTTATTATTCTTGTTAGGCAGCGTGAGAATTTATAAAGTCTCGTCAGTTGGTATGTTCCAGTAAGAAGATTCGGTTAGACCCAGATTTGATGTATGTGTACTGAGCCTGCCATCTTTAACAACGCAGATAATGTTGTGAAAATCTCATTTGGATTGGAAAAAGTTGCATGGAAAATATTCGGCTTGATATACGTGCGTTTATGTAATAACATAAACGATGTTGGACGTTATTAGAATATTAAATTCCATGAAAAGTTGTGATATAAATATCATATAATAAACCTCACAATCACAAGTTAAGTTAAAATGAGTGACAAGGTTGTGTCTGCATTTTTGTACCACTTGAAGAAGAAAGACAGCGGTTTAACAACATTCAATTAAGCTGTATTTTTCTCCTACACCTTTCTGATACATTTCCGTCTAAGCCTAAACCTTTCATCATTTTTCGTACTCTGTTTATGTTCTTGAAACATGTTTTCTCACGTAAACCAGACCCAACAGATACGTTACAGTTCGTTTGTTCAGCACAAACTGTCAACTGCGGAGAATCGAACCCAGGATTTTTGCATTGTAAGTCCGTAAACATACCGTTGACTCACCTTTACCAGAACTGCAAACCAAGAGATTCGGAAATTTGAAGTGAAACTGTTAAAGGAGTTTCGTGATGAAGGTAAATATATGAAACAATACTGAGAAATACTTTCTATTTTCCTTGTTAGCTTTCTGTTATACGACTTCCAGAAATCGTAACAAGACGACTTGTACTAAATGGAAAGCAAGCCCTACAAGCCAGACCTAGATCTACTAGTTGCTCCCACGATTCACAACACATAAGGTCCGTTCACTACTCGTATGGCTCACTGAACTAGTTCCTGCAGCTGTACAATGTCCTGGACTCAACATGGACAAGTTCTTACCGTTGGACGAAACATACCATTTGCACTGTTGTTGTTGTTGTTGTAGGTGATGATGCACAGTTGTACTGTGCACCATAATCCATGTTATAGGAGTACAACTGTGCATCATAATCTATATTGTAGGCCATAATCCATGTTGTAGGAGTACAACTTGCACAGTTGTACTCCTACAACATAGATCATGATGCACAGTTGTACTACTACAACATGAATTATGATGCACAGTTGTACTCCTACAACATAGATTATGATGCACAGTTGTACTCCTACAACATAGATTATGATGCACAGTTGTACTCCTGCAACATAGATTATGATGCACAGTTGTACTCATGCAACATAGATTATGATGCACGTTTGTACTCCTACAACATAGATGATGATGCACAGTTGTACTCCTACAACATGGATTATGATGCACAATTGTACTCCTACAACATAGATTATGCTGCACAGTTGTACTCCTGCAACATAGATTATGATGCACAGTTGTACTCCTGCAACATAGATGATGATGCACAGTTGTACTCCTACAACATAGATTATGCTGCACAGTTGTACTCCTGCAACATAGATTATGATGC